AGAGAGAGGGGGGGGGGGGGCGGCGGGGGGGGGGGGGCAGCAGGGGAAGGAGGGGCTGCTTGGGCACCACGGTGTTCCCAAAAGCACCCATAAGCCTCTTGCCTACGTCTGTGTGCAAGAGCTGAAGTTCAGGAAGAGAAGATAACTCAGGAGAGCTCATTTCTCGAGCGCGAGCCCATGTGTGGCCATTGCTACAAGCTGATTTTTAATCACAAAACACACCAACCAGCCCCCTGCGTGCCTGTCTCTGTCCCCAGCTAAGGGTTCAGCTGCGATCAGAATCTAAGGAGCTCCTGATGAATTTCCTTGGATGGACCACTCAAAATCAGGTAGCTCACACACCCCCAACACCCCAGCCCTATGGATGTAACAGGAAAGATAAGAAAATGAATCACAGATCAGCATCCCTTTGCTCACTGCAGGCAGCAGCACCTTAGAGGCACAGGTGGAGCATGACTGGTCTCTTTCCTCCAGTCTATGAAGTGGTGTATGGTAGAAATCACCCCAGACCCTATAGATGTTCCTTATTGCTTGTTTCTAATAAAGCCCAGAGGACCAGAGCATGGGGAGCTCCTGTTCCAAGTAGGATCTGTAGAGGTTCATCCTTTGCTTTCCCAGCCCTTTTCCTGTCTTATGGTCCTAGGCAAAAGAGATGCTTTCAGGGACAACAGAAGGTCTAGGAGCCCGATTCCTGCAGCACTGTCTGCTGCCTTTGAGCACCTTTCTCTCCTCTTTTTCTGGGTACTTTCCGCAAACTTTTGACATGGGCTTCCTGTGGCTCAGCGCTTCAGTCCCATGGAGGACGGGTGAAACTGGGGAAGAGGCAGTCCTGGATGTCTGTGCTCCTGGGGAAGATAAAGGCTTGGATTGCCTTCACTAACGACCTGTCTGCCTGAGAAGCTCTCAGCCAACTAAACCTTAGTGAAAGTAAGGTAAACAGGGATGGAGGGAGGCTGTCCCTGTAGCTGGGACATTCACTGTCTCACTGTCCTTTGCTACACTGATGCTGGGAGTCAGCAGGGAAGGAGAAAGGGAAGGGAGAGATTCTCTGATGCCTGGAAATATTTCTCATCAATAGGACAACATACTCCCACCAACATTTCCATGGGGTACTTCCCAATCCTCATCAAATGCTCCCTGAGTGTACTCACTTTGCTTTTTCTGCTAAGCACTCTTGTGTTTCCCAGGGCTGGATCAACAAGGACACCTCGTGACTAGTTGTCTGTCAGACTGGGATTTCTTTTACCTCCTAAAGACTTTCTTGTTAAATATCGGACGAAGTCTGTAGCAAAGAAAATAACAGCGTACTTTTAATTTTAACATCTCCATCCAAATAAATAAGCCTGATCCAACTTCAGCTCAACGTAACGGGGCCCCTTTCCGCTCACCAAATTGGTTGCAGATGCTGGGGGCTCAGAGCAGCTCAGCTGCTAATGCACAGCCTAACATTGCTGAACTCCACTCTGATGGCTTTTCACGAATTGATTACCAAGCACCCAGCAAGGAAAGCAGCAACAGGGCTGTGAAGGTCTGTGCTAGTAGTGCATCCCAGCACGGTCAGCCACATGCTGAGTTTGAGGACAGAAGGCATCCTGCTGCCATCAGTAAGACAATCCCCAGGGTTTAGCCCTCAGCAAGACAATTCCCAGGGTTTAGCCCCAGTCTGAAGGGGAATTTTGGACAGCAAGCATGTAATTGTAGCACTATACGTCTGTGCAGTCTGAATATGCCCTCTGTACCCACACACTTCAGCGAGTAGCTCCACCAGTGTGAATCTCTCATCCAGCAGTATAAATGTATTTAATTCTGGTACACAAGCACCTCCACGAAGAGTGGGTCAGGCTCCACCAGAGGTTCTGTGCAAGGTGGCACCACCGTTGAGCTCCGGCTGTGTAGGAGCATCACCGACACAGCCCAGCTCTGCGTGCCTTATGGAAATGGGTCCAGCTCCTCGGCAATGGGGGGTTAAACTGGGCTTAAAGCACTTGTCCCCCTCTTACAGTCTCCTCTTTCCATCAGTATAATTTGGAGAAACCTGAATTTAGGTGCTTAATTTAAGCACCTTAACTCTGAGCTGAAGCCCAGCCTGGGAGTCAAAGGGCCAGTTTCATCCTGGCTGACTCTTTGGCCATAAGCTGGAAAGGGGCCAAGAAGCATTTTAATGTAAAGAGGGAAAGGAAGTTTCTGGTACTCTGGAAGTTTTTTTCGCTTTACTACAAATTCATGAATTCTTCAAGCTGACAGAAAAGGAGAAAATTACGACAACTAATTGTAAAGCCAGCAAAAACTTTAGAAAATTTTTAAGTCTTCTTACTCCAGAAAAAAAAAAAAAAGCAAGTTTTACATTCTGGTAAGTAGGAGGTGCATTTCTTCCCCTTAGAAGGAGTCAACCCTATCCTAAACCAAAATGTTTCATTATGGAGTGAAAGTAAAATATATTCAAAGGTTTGTTTAGATTTGTGTTTGTTTTCCAGGAAAAGAGATTGAAAAATATTTCTTTTTTTTTTTTTTTTTAAGTTTACCTGGAACAAACCCTTGGTTTGACAGCAGATGAGATACTGCCACATATTCATTCAGATCTACTTTAAATAAAGGGCTCTTGAGGTTTTCTAAGTGCTTAATTTAAAATGGGTGAATGAATAAGAGGTATAAGTGCTTTTGATGGAAATAACAGCAGCATGTTTCTTAGGGTGCAACAGCGAGAAAGGGTGATGAATGTGTCCAAGCCTGTTGCGTTCCCAAGAGTAGTGGTCAGGAATGAAAGAGGGAGTAAAACAAGAACTCTGCCTTCCAAGTAAAGTAAATATATAGGGAAAACTTGGAAATTAACTGGAGCAGAGACAGGGGCAGAGAGGATAACTCAATGCCAGGGCTCAGGGCTGAGCACAGGCTCCATTTGGTGCGTTCTACATCAAGCCCCAGTTCTTGTTCTTTGCTTTAGCTGGAGCGATTCAAGCACGCGCTGCATAAACGACAGCTCTGGATGGGCTTTTTCTCTGGCTTTGGCACTGAGGTGGAGTTTTATTTCATGTCTTGCCCAGCAGATTTACAGGGTGGTGGTTTGAAGGAAGTAGAAGCATCATGAAAGGGACATTAAAACAGGAATCAGACCAGGAATTGAAATGAGAAAGGAAAAGTGAGAGCTCTCCCGCCCAAAAAGTCTCCACAAAGCTGAATAAAGACAAGGATAAACATATGCTGGCTGGAAGCACAGTAGCTGTAAACATTCATTCCTTGGCAGCAAAGTACCTGGCTCTGCACATCAGCCGGCTCTTCTGGGGAAAGCTGGGAACCAAGAAGACGGCACGTGGACTCCAGACCTTCCAGACATCTACCCAGTTCTGTATACCTCATGCAGGAAAAACAAAGGCAAGGTTGCGTGAAGGACACTCCGCCAGCAAAGCCAGTGGAGGGAAAGCAAGAAGGAGAAGAAAAAAGTTGGATCGTTGTGAAGAGGTACTCTGTACCAAGGCCTGAAGACACAAAGTGTATCAGTGTGGTACCAGCAGGAAGAGCTTCTTGAAGAAGAGAAATCCCATAGCCCACCGGAGGAAGGTCCAAAGTGGTCTGCAGGTTTGGAAGGAGAAGCACCAGGACCAAGCAGCATCCTTCATAAGGAGCAAGACAAGCAAGGCCAAGGAGATGCCATCCCCAGGGTAGACAGATCCATGCTGAAGACAAGCCTTATGAGACCTTCATTGTGAGCTACTAGGTGGTGCAGGTCCCCAGATAAAAGTGGGGATATAGCAGGCTAAAATACCCACTATGAAAGGTGGCCCAGTTGGCTCAGCCCTGTAAGAAGCTGTGCTTTCTCCTCTCCGTGGTCACAGTCTCTGAATGACTAAAGGGGGTTGGGGATAGCCAGAGCAAATGCGAATGTAAAGGTCATACACGATCCCTGCTTGCAGCTACTGTCCTGGGATGGTGAAAATCGTTGATGCTGATGGGACTCTGCTCCACTTCAGACCTTGAACCATGCATGCATGCAGCTTTCTTCATGTCTCACACCCCCACCACCTGTCAAAATAGAGAGAAAAGCTCTTTGAGTGGTGATGCAGGATATCTGACTAAGGTTTTTGCCCCTAAAACATAGAATCATAGAATGGTTTGGGTTGGAAGGGACCTTAAAGATCATCTAGTTCCAACTCCCCTGCCTTCCACTAGATCAGGTTGTTCAAAGCCTCATCCAACCCCTGTGCAGGACCTTGCACTTGGCCTTGTTGAACTTCATGAGGTTCACACGGGCCCACCTCTCCAGCCTGTCAAGGTGCCCCTGGATGGCATCCCTTCCCTCCAGTGTGTCGACCACACGACACATCTTGATGTCCTCAGCAAACTTGCTGAGAGTGCACTCAATCCCTTCCTAGATTTTACAGTCTCTTGGTCTTTGGTTTTACTAGCTTGACTGGGCTTTTATTTATGTTTTTCTTTTCCACATGACAGCTTACCACATTAAAAGTGGTTGGTTTGTTGTTTTTTCCTGTTGGCTTTGGCAATAACATCTGCCTTGGCTTCTTCTCAGGTTCAGCCTTCATGAAGGAAAACAGGCTTTCATCTAAAGAAGAGTAACTCAAACCAGCCCTGGCACTTTCCCATGGTCGCTGCCTCCCAGCAGCCCTGGAAGGCAGGGAAAGCTGGTGGAAATGGCTAGGAGGATGCTCAGCGATGCCTCTCTTAGTGAACACCTCCCAGGCCTCCACCTCTGAAGAACCGGGTGATGAAACAGCCAGCCGCAATGACGCTGGAGCTCTTGAAGGTAGAGAGTTTTCTCAGCCAGACTCAAGAGTAGCTGTACACTTGTGTAATTTGTGGGGACAGTTTTAAACACAAGAGCATTCTGGAGGCCCACCAGAAATCTCATAAAGAGGAGACAGAGGCTGAAGGCTGTGAGAAGGAGGGTGATGCTGACCGGGCTGGAGAGCTGCATGACCAAGAAGGCATCAGAGCTGGCCAGAGGGGAAGCCAATGGTGAAGGCCAGAGCAAGCACAGCACACAGAGTGATCCTGAGAGAAGGGAGAAGCCTCATGCCTGCATTGAGTGTGGGAAGACCTTCAAGATGAAGGTGGACATCTCCAAGCACCTCCGGACTCACACAGGTGAGCGATCATTTCCCTGCACTGACTTGCAGCAAGAGGTTCATCATCAAATCACAACTCAAGGGGCACCAGAGGGTCCACACAGGTGAGCAGCCATACAAGTGTCTGGACTGTGGGAAGAACTTCACCCAGAAGTTGCAGCTCATCGTGCACCACTGGATCCACACAAGTGAGAAGCCCTACCAGTGCAGCAGCTGCCAGAAGAGCTTCATGGACAAGTCGCAGTTGATGCCCACCACTGGATCCACATGGGTGACCATCCCTTCAAGTGCAGGGTGTGCAGCTGTGGCTTCCGCCAGAAGATCACCCCTGTCAAGCATCAGCTGGTCCACAGTGCCAAGGGGGCCCAGCAGGACATCGCTAGAGCCATCATGGCCGAATCTAGTCCAGTGGGGGAGAAAATCTTCCATTGTGGCACCTGTGGGAAGGACTTTAAGAAGTTAGTGCTGGTGACCCACTGGAGGACCTCCAGTACTACCGGGGGTGGGCAGCCCCCCACCACCCTTAATAGTACCCATGCCTGTGGGCAGTGTGGGAAGACATTCATCAAGAAGGGCAACCTGGCCAACCACCAGCGGGTTGATGCCGAGGACTGGGGTCACCTGCAGGAAGGGCTTCACCAAGCGAGGGGAGCTGACCAAGCCTGAGCAGACCCACACTGGGGAGGAACCCTATGGGTGTGGGCAGTGCAGCAAGCACTTTGCCCAGTGCACCCAGCTGCTCACCCACCATTGTGGCCACAACAGTGAGCGGCCCTTTCCCTGCCCCACCTGCGGCAAGGGCTTCTGCCAGAAGATCGCCTTGGTCAAACATCACCGAGTCCATGAGCGTGGCAGGGACAAGGGAGGTGGTGAAGATATCAGTGCCAACACCAACGCCAACACTGACACCGATGCCAATGGCAATGCCAATGCCGACACCAATGCCAGTGTCAAGACCAACATCGATGCCAACATCAGCGTCAATGCCAATGCCAAGGTGGCTGGCAAAGATGGGGAGAACTTGGCTGTCCCCTGTCGGCAGCTCCCTATTGCTGAGTGGTCCTTCTCCTGCAGTGAGTGTGGGAAGACTTTCTTTGCCCAGAAGGCCCAGCTGGCAGTCCACCACTGCACCCACAGTGGTGAGCATCCCTTCCTCTGTGCTGCCTGCGGCCAGGCCTTCACCCAGAAGGTTGCCCTCACCACCCAACAGAGAGTCCACACATGGGAGCACCAGCCCCTGCCAGCCCTGGTTCCCCCTGCACCCCATGGTGAGGAGTGGCCCTTCACCCGCACCATCTGTGGGAGTTAGGTTTCCACAAGGAGATTGCCCTCATCACTCATGCTCAGGTCCACACCAAGTATGAGCCCAACTCCTGCGGTGAGTGTGGGCAGGTCTTCCCCGACAGCACCCAGCTCTGGCTCCACCTGCCATCCCATGCTGAGGACTGGCCATTCAAGTGTGCCATGTGTGGGAAAGATTTAAAGAGGAAGGAGATCTCAATTACCCACCAGCATGTCCACACAGGAGAGACACCCTCCCAGTGCAGCAAAAGCTTCTTACAGAAGGCAAACCTCATGAAGCATCAGGTCACTCACACCCGCCAGGGCTCGTTGATCTCCAACTGCGGGCAAAGCTACACCACCACTGGACATATCAAGAGGCACCAGAGGAACCATCACAAGAAGCAAAGCCCTCCTGGTGAGGGAGAGGAGCCCCCATAGGACCTGGCGACAGGCCATGTGCCACCAGAGCCAGTGGGTGGCCAGAGCAGCCCCATCATTGTGGTGAAGACAGAGGCTGATGCTGACGACTCTGAGGTCCTACAGGTTCCATGATGGCAAGGATCAAGCACTCAGGGAGGGAAGAGATGATGCCTGCTCGCTTGGGGATGGACATGCTGCGTCTGCCATCAAGGTCCACAGTCCTATGGGAGCTGCTCCCCTGGGACATCTTGCAGTATTTGATGGGAGCCAGGAGTGGAAAAGCTGGGAGGATCTGAACTTCACCACACAGCGATCTCTGAATCAAACCTCAGTCAAAACTGGCTGACATAATGTGAAATTTGGGGGCGAGGAAGGGATATAAATACATATTTTGGCTTCTTTTTTATATCTTATATAAAAGTCCTGATTTCAAGAGGGTTTTGTTTGGGTTTTTTTTTGCTAACAGGAGGGCTGAGAAGCTCATTTTTTTAAAGTACGTATATGAAATCTGTGATTTCAGATATATTCACATGACTCCAACAGCTGGAGCTTTAAAAAAAAAAAAAGACCAAAAATCTCACTAAACGTGTGAGACTTGTCATCACCGACCTGGCAGGAGTCGGAGCAGACCATGGTTGGTCCCTAGCCTTCCAGCAGCTGACCCCAGCACTGGCCGTCCTGCAGACAGGTGGAGCTGTGCGGGGTCTGCTATTATGGAAAAACTGAGCCAGAAATAAGGGAGGGTGTCATGGCCAAAGGACTCGGGGATGGGGACCCTGCTGGCACCTGGGAAGGGCCACTGAGATCTGTAACACTCCTCATGGACAGCAAACACCCACCACACAGCCCAGTTTGCAGACCCTGAGTAAGAGCCCCGACTGGGAGCTACCGCAGGGTTCATATGAAGACACCGTTTTAACTAGTTCAGAATAACCTCACGCATGGGTTGATTGTGCAGGATAATCCCTGAGAGTATTTATTATGGAGTTGAGGGCATTTGTTGCATGGCCATGGTTTCAGAGCAGCACTTGGGAGGTTGCCAGACCTGTTTCTCGCCCCACATGCTCAGTTTCAAGGCCAAGATGTGGCTCCTAAATCTGAAGACCCCTGGTCCATGCCGTGTACAGCTGCACTGAGGTAAGGAGAAACCCTCTACAACTGTCCTCTACATCACACATTTGCAGTCATGGCCATAGTGTGGCACAAGGAAAAGATGTGTTGAATTGCTCTGCCAAGAAAAGGAGATGTTAGGTTGCTCCCAGCGCTCCCCCAACCCGGATGGAGTTGGGGGTCAGCAGAGGCTGTTCCCACCACGGGTGTGGATAAGTCTCCCCACATCTGATGTGCACACTCTGGCCCTACGGGCTGTGCTGTCCTATAGGACCCCTCTGACCCAGCTTAGTGACATGGAGGCCACCTCCGAGGTGCAGCTCCAAGGCCACCTAGC